ACTCGAACCCAGAAAGCACAACTACCTTCCAGTAGCTGCCATAACTAGTATGCTTTAACCCACTACACCATCAGACCCTACAAAAGAAGTAGAGACTTCGAGATATATATACATCTCAAATATCTCCACTTCCCGAGGGCACCAGATGAGTGTGAGGTTAGTCTGCATTTGTCGTCAAGCTACTGTCAATGTGAGAGAACTCGTGTCCAGCTTATAAGCCTATACTTGCATAAACCACAAGTGAAGATTAACAATCTTTGGACAACACCCACCAGTGGGACTCGAACCCAGAAAGCACAACTACCTTCCAGTAGCTGCCATAACTAGTATGCTTTAACCCACTACACCATCAGACCCTACAAAAGAAGTAGAGACTTCGAGATATATATACATCTCAAATATCTCCTCTTCCCGAGGGCACCAGATGAGTGTGAGGTTAGTCTGCATTTTTCGTCAAGCCACTGTCAATGTGAGAGAACTCGTGTCCAGCTTATAAGCCTATACTTGCATAAACCACAAGTGAAGATTAACAATCTTTGGACAACACCCACCAGTGGGACTCGAACCCAGAAAGCACAACTACCTTCCAGTAGCTGCCATAACTAGTATGCTTTAACCCACTACACCATCAGACCCTACAAAAGAAGTAGAGACTTCGTGATATATATACATCTCAAATATCTCCACTTCCCAAGGGCACCAGATGAGTGTGAGGTTAGTCTGCATTTTTCGTCAAGCCACTGTCAATGTGAGAGAACTCGTGTCCAGCTTATAAGCCTATACTTGCATAAACCACAAGTGAAGATTAACAATCTTTGGACAACACCCACCAGTGGGACTCGAACCCAGAAAGCACAACTACCTTCCAGTAGCTGCCATAACTAGTATGCTTTAACCCACTACACCATCAGACCCTACAAAAGAAGTAGAGACTTCGAGATATATATACATCTCAAATATCTCCACTTCCCGAGGGCACCAGATGAGTGTGAGGTTAGTCTGCATTTTTCGTGTGTGTGGTGATCAATGACTGTTGAGTGGTGATCAATGACTGTTGAGTGGTGATCAATGACTGTTGAGTGGTGATCAATGACTGTTGAGTGCTGATCAATAACTGTTGTGTGCTGATCGGTTGGTGTTGAGTGGTGATCGGTTGGTGTTAAGTGGTGATCAATAGGTGTTGTGTTGTGATCAACGACTGTTGTGTGGTGATCGGTTGGTGTTAAGTGGTGATCAATAGGTGTTGTGTTGTGATCAACGACTGTTGTGTGGTGATCGGTTGGTGTTTAGTGGTGATCAATAGGTGTTGTGTTGTGATCAGATATTGATGGTATAAAGTTGGGTATTGCTGATTAAGACCGACCGGCTCCCTGACCGACAGGGAGCCGGTCGGCCGAGCGGACAGCACGCTGGACTTGTGATCCTGTGGTCCCGGGTTCGATCCCGGGCGCCGGCGAGAAGCACTGGGCAGAGTTTCATTCACCCTATGCCCCTGTTACCTAGCAGGAAAATATGTACCTGGGTGTTAGTCAGCTGTCACGGGCTGCTTCCTGGGGGTGGAGGCCTGGTCGAGGTCCGGGCCGCGGGGACACTAAAGCCCCGAAATCATCTCAAGATAACCTCAAAAAGACGGTGGAATTGTCTGTTCAAATTCTGCAATGATCGTTGCTGCTGTAGATTTTGTTGTTACAGTGTCTGCAGTAATGCATCTAGTGTGCTTTGGTGCATTTGTCTCTCGTGCTGCAAGTTGATTTCCTTCTATTGTTATATCTCATGAGATGAGTGAAGAGTAGAGTGTGTGGCCCATTATATGGATGAGGTGAGTGAAGAGTAGAGTGTGTAGCCCACCATATGGATGAGGTGAGTGAAGAGTAGAGTGTGTGGCCCACCATATGGATGAGGTGAGTGAAGAGTAGAGTGTGTGGCCCACCATATGGATGAGGTGAGTGAAGAGTAGAGTGTGTGGCCCACCATATGGATGAGGTGAGTGAAGAGTAGAGTGTGTGGCCCACCATATGGATGAAGTGAGTGAAGAGTAGAGTGTGTGGCCCACCATATGGATGAGGTGAGTGAAGAGTAGAGTGTGTGGCCCACCTTATGGATGAGGTGAGTGAAGAGTAGAGTGTGTGGCCCACCATATGGATGAGGTGAGTGAAGAGTAGAGTGTGTGGCCCACCATATGGATGAGGTGAGTGAAGAGTAGAGTGTGTGGCCCACCATATGGATGAGGTGAGTGAAGAGTAGAGTGTGTGGCCCACCATATGGATGAGGTGAGTGAAGAGTAGAGTGTGTGGCCCACCTTATGGATGAGGTGAGTGAAGAGTAGAGTGTGTGGCCCACCATATGGATGAGGTGAGTGAAGAGTAGAGTGTGTGGCCCACCATATGGATGAGGTGAGTGAAGAGTAGAGTGTGTGGCCCACCATATGGATGAGGTGAGTGAAGAGTAGAGTGTGTGGCCCACCATATGGATGAGGTGAGTGAAGAGTAGAGTGTGTGGCCCACCATATGGATGAGGTGAGTGAAGAGTAGAGTGTGTGGCCCACCATATGGATGAGGTGAGTGAAGAGTAGAGTGTGTGGCCCACCATATGGATGAGGTGAGTGAAGAGTAGAGTGTGTGGCCCACCTTATGGATGAGGTGAGTGAAGAGTAGAGTGTGTGGCCCACCATATTGATGAGGTGAGTGAAGTAGATAGTGTGTGTCCCACCTTGTGTATGAGGTGGGTGAAGTAGACTGTGTGCACCCCACCTGCATAAGGTTGGTGAAGTAGACTGTATGAGGTGGGTGAAGTAGACAGTGTGTGTGCCCCACCTTATTTATGAAATGGTAAGGTTATATAGTGTGTAGACTAATGCATGTAAGAAGTGGGTGAGGTATACAGTGTACCAGCTGGTGAGAAGTGGGTGAGGTATACAGTGTACCAGCTGGTGAGAAGTGGGTGAGGTATACAGTGTACCAGCTGGTGAGAAGTGGGTGAGGTATACAGTGTACCAGCTGGTGAGAAGTGGGTGAGGTATACAGTGTACCAGCTGGTGAGAAGTGGGTGAGGTATACAGTGTACCAGCTGGTGAGAAGTGGGTGAGGTATACAGTGTACCAGCTGGTGAGAAGTGGGTGAGGTATACAGTGTACCAGCTGGTGAGAAGTGGGTGAGGTATACAGTGTATTAACAGGTGAGAAGTGGGTGAAGTGAAGTATGCAGTGTATCAGCTGGTGAGAAGTGGATGAGATTTACAGTGTACGGGCATGTGGCAGGTGAGTGAGGTATACAGTGTACGGGCATGTGACAGGTGAGTGAGGTATACAGTGTACGGGCATGTGGCAGGTGAGTGAGGTATACAGTGTACGGGCATGTAACAGGTGAGTGAGGTATACAGTGTACGGGCATGTGACAGGTGAGTGAGGTATACAGTGTACGGGCATGTGACAGGTGAGTGAGGTATACAGTGTACGGGCATGTGACAGGTGAGTGAGGTATACAGTGTACGGGCATGTGACAGGTGAGTGAGGTTTACAGTGTACGAGCAGTTGACAGCTGGGTAAGGTTTACAGTGTACGAGCAGTTGACAGCTGGGTAAGGTTTACAGTGTACGAGCAGTTGACAGCTGGGTAAGGTTTACAGTGTACGAGCAGTTGACAGCTGGGTAAGGTTTACAGTGTACCATCAGGTAGGTGACAGTTGGGTGAGTGTTACGATATAAACGCTTTCTATGACGTGTGGTGTAGCGAAATCGACGCCATCTATGGACCTGAACTCCAGCTCCATGGCATTAGGTGAGACGAAAACAACGCCATCTGTTGGCAGATGTGTGGCGTCTGTGAAAGGCTCCTGTTTCATACCTCAGTTAGGAGGTGAGGTCGATGATGATGATCTCTGGTGAGGACGTAACGGTATCAATGCCATCTGGATTGTGCATCATATTACATTTCCTACTTTCCCAGTGAAAGGTTGCCAACCTATTTTCTCCCTGTATACTTTCTGTCTGACTAATGACTTTTATGTTCACAGAGGTAACGTGATGAGTCTATTGCGCTGTAGACATCAGTTCACCTCAGGCAGTCCCGAACTCCTTACTTGGCCCTGTGTGAGGACAAGTGGCCGCCGTCAATAGTAAGCCGTGTGTTAGATGTTGTACTTATGCTGTGTTGTGTGGACCGACGTACCCAGGATTTGCCCAAGAAGAATTAGAAGACGACAGTATGGGCTGTCTGCTGAGAAGTGCTGCTAGTGTGTTGCTAGAGATGTCTGCCATTGAGACTCACTCGTGTTATGGTAATATCATGTTTCCGATAATATTAGCCTTACTGTGTTTATATTGTGAAATAAAGGCAGATGGAAGTGATCCGCTGAAAGGCAAGGTTAACTTCAGGCTTTCAGCTAGAGAGGGGAGACCTATAGAAGTCATATCATTATTGAGCGATGATGATGATGAGGTAGTAGGAGGAGCAGGTGAGTCACCACCCTCTCCTTCCCCCATTCACCCAATCCCACCAGCATCACCTGCCTCACCACCTCCACCAGAGGCACCTGCTTTTCCACCTCACTCTCCAGCACTCCTAGTGGGTTCTTCCACACCTTCACAACCCATACTCCCTCAGGTGATAGAATCAAAAATGTTATTGGAGCATACACCCGTTATTCTTTTTTTTTCCATTCCAGATCTTGTAAAATCATCCCCAGGTGTATATTTAAGATCATATGGACAGTTTTTTATTGACCATATCCTCACTAAATTCTTCCCCCAATCCCCTATCACTTTAAATTTATCCGTATCTAACCTTAATCATCCGTAATTTAAACATGCCTAATGAAGAAGATCTCCTTGATCCTATTAATAATGATGGATTCCCTATACGCGGCGAGGAGAGAACTATCACTTGAGAAGAGGTACCCACTGTTATAGATTTCTGGGGGGATGAGTTAGACGAAAAGATTGCTCGGTGTTTGGAAGAAAAAGAGGAGTCAAATGTCTCTGTTGAGCTTCTATTATGGTTTTACATAAACTGTGCTCAAATTGAACACTTCATAAGGCTTGGATCCCATGTTGAGCACTCTGAAGGTCTGCTTGGAAAGCAGCTGGTTCTCAATCCGAAGGGTGATGCTAACATCTGTCTAGTGCAGTGTCTGGCTGCATATAAATGTCTCGCTAGGGGTTATGGATCTACAGAATATCCGTAAATGATGTGCGAATGCGAGTTGCTGTCTAAGATATATTATTTGCCCAACAAATATGACCACCTGAGAAACATTTGAGGATATCACCAACATCGAAAAAATTAACAAAGTCAGGATCTTTGTTTATTCACTTGAATGGGACAACATTACTAGACGTTATTACATCACACTAGCCAGGAAAGGAAAAGCTGAACATGAAGTGATTGTCCCCTTGCTTATGTTAGAGAGCCCAGCATCTAGTACAGATTAACCCCTCCCTATCCGGTCCGTTGTCGTCGTGGAGGAGCTTAGTGGGCGCCTGCCGGAGTGTGATGCTCCTTAGGACTGCTGCTGTCTTCTCGAATTGTGCCGGGTAACTTTTCCTTATTTTTTTTGTTTCGTTTTTCTCCCCCCCCCCTTCTTCCCCTCTTCTCTATTCTCATTGTCATTTCCCGTCGACCATTTGCCTGTTTTGATTATTCTTTTGGCCTTCTTTTGTTTTGAGGCCCGAGTGTTTGAGGAGGCATACTCTCTCACCTGTAAAACTGTGGTACGCAACGTGTCGAGCGAGGGGACGCTTTTATTGTCAATCCTCCTTTCGTCACTGAACCCGACCTCGACGGACTGACGGTTCTTAAGGTGGCGTTTGTGGGGCGTATATTTACGAGGCACCCTTAGGGGGCACAGGCAAGACCGGCAACATGTTTCTTGTTGGGTATTCTGTCCTCTAACTGTGGCTCCGTGGTGGGTGTGGGGGGCACATTCGTGAATGAAAGTCTTTCCTGTTATTTTTATGTTGACGACTGTTCTTCTTGTACCTTCCTGGGCTCGTGGGGTGGGCGACCAAGCCCCCGAGTTGGACTGTGTTGGAAGACCGGGCTCTGTAGCCCCTGCTGCATTGGGCACCGACTGTTACGGCCCTCTTGGGTCGCAATTGGGTTCTTTCTCTGATGTTAGTAGAACTTGGGTATCCGGCCCCAAGCTAGTAGTGGCTTTCAAGGGGTGTGCTCCGTAACGCAAGTAAATTAAAGGGGAAGGGAGACAAAGGCAAAAACTTAATAATATAATTATCACCACTACCATAAATAATATATAGATTATCACACGGGGGAGGCATAAACACTATTATGTACAACGTGGTCTTCCTCTGAAGACTCTGGACGTTCACGGTGCTCAAGGCGAGTGGTCCTGGTTCTCTTGTGGCCTCGCGATGAATCCTTTGATTCCCTCGACGAGTCTACCCCGGCCACAGGCCAGCCGAACCACAGTCCCACTGGGTGCACCGTCGTGGAGGCCGTCAACCACAAATCCAGCCTTTAGCTGGCAGGTTCCAATCAGCAACGCTGCATAGGCCACTCCACGACCGATACTAGGGTTGCGAGCCCTAGGCAGAAGCCTCGTGTGATTCCACAAATCACTCTCCTCAGCATAACACCCCAGTGGTTATTCTTCTCCACGAGTCAGCCCCGGGTACGACAAATCCTCAACTGCCACGTCACAGGCAGGCTAACACAACAGTGTTCATCCAGGGGGGGGGGCGACTCACAACTTCAGCAGTTAACACTTGGAGATGCAACGGCTGCCTTGAATAGACTGATCCAACGTTCATTACAGCAGTCCCAGGTCGACTCTGTAATCAGACATGTCATCAGTACCGGTTACACTCTAAGGCATTTCACTTACCGGCTTAGACACAAACGCCCACCTATCCACTCCATAGATGGCGTTGCTGTCTAAGCGTCACCTCACCAGAGGTCAGCAGCGGCTACGTCACGAGCTGATTAGGACGGGAAACTAGCCCTTGTGGCCAGTATATCTCGTCCTCACTAGATGGCGTCGTCCATTTGGAGGGGGTTTCGGGAGCTGACCCACAGATGGCGCGGTCGTCACTGCTCCGTGCTCGGACGCTGGGCTCGGGTCCGTAACACCGACCATGCTCCTCCTTTGACCCTCCTGGCTACTCCCCTCGGCTCCCCTCCTTTCTCTGTGGTTGGGTCGAGCCACTAGCCCCCAGTGGTGACCACCTCGTCCGCCCTCTGGCACGGTTCAGTCTCTCATTGCGACTACTATGCATTTTAACCTCTCTTTCTGGGGGTTCCCAACGCCGTACCCACCATGGCCACACTTGCATAATCCCTTCCCATACTGATGCGTACCAAGCCTTGTTTGGTCCCGCTTCGTATGTCAAATACTTTGATCTCCTTCCTCTGGATTCTACACCTGACGATTAAGTCCACTACGGGCTCACCATAGCCCGTGCTACTTGAAACTTTTTGTTACAGGTAGCACACCTTAAACAACAAACAAACAATTATCCCTCCATAGGCACCTTGTTGATTCAGTAGATGCCTCTGTTACTTTCAACCCCACCCATCTTGTACCGAGATGGTACAAGTGTCGTTGCTGCTCCTTCTCAGGATGCAGCCACCCGCTTGGCTGCATTATCCTGCTTTGGCGAGACCCCTGTTCGGGTCTCCAAGAACGCTCAGTTGAATGCCAGTGTTGGCACTGTTCTCCTTCCACCCCATGCTGCAACCGGTGTTAGGAGTCTACAGGACTGCCACGAAGATATTCGGCATATCCTCGAAGCCCAGGGCCCTTCTGTCTTCCAGGTGGACACGTTTACTGGTCCCCCTTGTGGTCGTCGCCGTCAGCCCCTTCGTGTTGTGAAGATTACCTTTGATGGTAGGACCCTTCCGCCCTCTGGCATTCTTGCTGGTACCAGGTGCTCCGTCTAGGATTACATTCTCTCTCCTCGGCTGTGTAATAAGTGCTGGAGGTTTGTGCATGGTGGCCTCCGATGCTGCAGTACTGTCTCTCTCTGTCCCTTGTGCGGAGACGAAGGTCACTTTATGTCGGAGTGCACTTCTCCCAGAGCTCGCTGCCTCAATTGCGGTGAGGCCTAACCTACCTTCTCCCGTGCGTGTGTACATTACAAACTTGAGGCAGCCATCCCCAACTTGAAGCACCGGGAACGTTTGTCTTTTCCTGAGGTGAGGCGCCAAGTTCGCAATTTCCCCCCCTTTCACTGGAGTCTCGTAAGCTCGTGTGTTGCGCTCTTCCTCTCCTCGTCCTTCCCACCTTCCTCAGTCTCACACCCGTTTCCAGGCCTTAGACCCAGACACGCTCACCGCCTCCTCCTCTGTTCCTTTACGTTCTGTCCCGAAGGGCTCCCCTCCTGGTTCTCTGTCGGGGGCTCTCGTTCTTTCTACCCAGTCTGTCATGTCTCCTGTGTCTTATTTCTCGTCTCCCTCCGATCCTTCTCCTCTGTCTCTTACTAAGAGAAGGATGTCCACGCCTTCTCGTCCACGGCGCCTGTCTGTGTGGGCTGATGTCCATCACTCTCCCAGCAGTCATCATATTGTTCGCTCTCGTTCTTCTTCTCCTGTTGAGACACTTGAGTCTTTTGCTCAGTACGTTGTTGCTAGGACGCCTTTCTTGCTTTGGCGCTTTGAGTCAGAAGCGAAAGCCTGGCTCATCTCCTTCCTTCTCCCACTGTGGGTAAGAAGGCTTCCCTTTCTTCCTCGCACCCTACCACTGACTCTCTCGCTCCATCCCCTCCCGTTTCGGTGGTCTCACCCCCTGTTCCTTATATGGAGGTTTCTTTGGGCCCCGCTTCCCTCTCGGTTGCTGCCCTTGCTGAGGTGCTCTCCCAGGTTTCTGCCCCTCCTCCTGCTACTCTCCTTGACCCTCGGTTGTCCCCCCCCCCCTTCCTCCTCCGGACCCTGCATGTCCGCCTCTGGTCAGTCCTCCCACTCCCTTCCCTCCATCCTTATTCAGTTTACCCATGCCCCCTAACCCTGAATTCGCTGACCTTGATCCTGATCCTGCGCTTCTTTAACGTGCTGTGTTCCTTTTTCACCTTTGTTTCTTCATTGTTCTCTGTTGCTGTCCTTTCTCTTCTTGTCGATGTCTATTCTTCAATGGAATATTCGTGGATATTACGCCAATTTCCATGAACTCCAACTTCTGATTTCACAGTTTTCGCCCCTTTGTGTCTGTCTCCAGGAGCCGATGCTTGGTGCTCGTCCTGGTCGCTTCCGTGGCTATTCCTTTCTCCCCCCCCCCCCCAGCTTTTGCTGGGGCCCATAACTCTTCTGCTCTCTTGATTCGTTCTGATGTTCCCTTCGTCCCCCTACTTTTTCCATCGCCTCTCCAATGTTCTGCTGCCCGTGTCTTTGTGAGTAAATGGTACACAGTTTGTTCCATTTATCTCCCCCCAAATGTCCTGCTTTCTCTTCCTGATCTTAAACACCTACTGGACTCCTTGCCAGAGCCTGTGCTCCTGCTGGGTGATTTCAATTGTCGACATACCCTCTGGGGTGATGTTCTGACAAACACCCGGGGTCGCCTTCTCGAACCGTTCATCCTCTCTTCTTCCCTGTCTCTTCTGAATTCTGGTGAGCCCACTCATTTGGACTCTCGGACTCGCACCCTTTCCTGTCTTGATCTTTCTCTCTGCTCGTCGTCTCTTTACTTGGATTTCACGTGGCGGGTTCTTGATGACCTCCATGGCAGTGACCATTTCCCCATCCTTGTTACCTTTTTCTCTTTTCACCCTCCCCTCTCCTTCCCTAGGTGGCAGTTTGCCAAGGCAGACTGGAACCTATTTACCCTCCGTGCTGCTCTCTCCGACCTCTCCATTCTGCCTCTCCCTCGCGCCCTCCTCCTTTTTCATGACACCATCTTCGACGCTGCCCTCCGCTCTATTCCTCGCTCTTCCTCTCGGGGAACACGGAAGTGCGTTCCCTGGTGGAATGTGGACTGTGCTCGGGCTGTCCGCTGTAAGCGTGCAGCCTGGAAGAGACACCGCCGCCGGCAGACGGCTGATTCTTTTCTTTTGTTTCGGAAGGCAAGTGCAGTGGCCCGTAGGACCATCCGTACAGCTA